GATTAAAACGCTGTCAATACTTTCTTATCTCGACTTGAAAATATTTAATCAAATTACCTGGTTTCAGTGTCAGATCTCGACATAAAGACACAGACTTTACTCACTAAACTAAACGAAAGCTTGCATAAGGCTTGCCTTAGGTAAGGTCAATATTTGTATTAAGATTTCTTATATATACATGTTATTTACTGTTTGGGAGGTCCGTATAGGAAAACACTGYTCGAGGYCTTGACAGTAGGCGAACGAGCGCTGCGAGGTCMGTACATAAAAGAYCGAGGGCMGTGTTTTSCTATAYGGACCGATCTATAGCCGGTAAATAACATTTTTATTGTTTTTAGTTGTATTTTCTGCGACTTTGCTCGCAACCCAGCTGCAGGATACCGTGGACCGGACCAGAGTTAACCGGACAGATCGTGRAAAACCGGACCGCGCGCTAGCCAATCACAGCGCGCGGATAACTAGGATACCGGACCAAAAAAAAAAAATAGATTTTATATTATATGGTTGAACTAGAAATGTACGCCTAAAAAGCCTAGTTTGCATATAATCCCTTGCAATGAATATGAATATTGTTCTGTCGATGTTCTGGTTTCTATTTAATAGGTCCGTTAATAGGTCCGATCGCTGGAATCACCACGAACGCTCAAACAGTCAAAGAACGACTGAATATTTTGATGGCCATGTTGCAGAATATTTGATGGCGTGCAGTGCATAGTGGTATACATTCCAAGATCGGTGGAGAGTGTATCCATGTTTCGCTAGGAAGCTAGGATCACTGAAATAGAATCTCTGTGTATCCAGTGATCAAGATTTCTAGGATTTCAACGATATCATGATAGTGTTTCCATGTGATGGAAGCGATCATAGCGATCGTAAGCTTATATGAATCTGCGTGCTTAATAATGCGTGATTACGCAAAGTGTAACMATGAACCTCTTTTACTGTAGATCATGGCATCATATTCCTGCAGTGTGTGCTTTGCAAAATCGACTTCACAGCTGATTGTATAACATGGTGAATAATGATTTTGATTACCTCAAACTGTGAGACCCGTGGATTCATGTCTGCACGCGGATTACAAACTCGTTATGTGTCTTGTATGAAACGAACATTTTCACTTGTTAAAAGATGCCTTGTTTGTTCGCTAAAACTTCTTGATATACGTCTAATTACATTTTTGGTATTGAAAAACGATCACTGATGGTCACTGATTGTATTTCAAACTTTCAAAACAATCTGGTCTTTCATCAGCCGTCAAGTAGTGACGTGACTTATGGATGTGGCAACTGAATTGAAGCTCCAAAWCCAATAAAATACGAAACAAATGTTGCATATTAGTTTTTGAAACAACTTTGCATGAAATAAGCCGTGCGGGAGTCYTTCACGGTTCATGTGCGATTTTTTTGTATTGTACACAAATCGTTTATAACTGGAACATCAAGCAGAAAATCTTTAGTTGCAACATAATTGCTTTTTCCATAAAGACTATCACAGTATTTGAGCAAATACAATAAGTMTTTTTTGTTGAGTCTTTCCGTACAGAAAAGTCTGAGAAGCGCCCTTAATAATATCCAGAGGTAAGCGACTGCAGACACTGTCTGGTCCTATAACATGGACAACATGGTTAACTGTGTAACCCACACACACACACAAACAAACTTTATCTAGCGTCATTCTTTAACTTTTGCTATGGCTCTGATAAAGCCTAAACTTACCCAMAGTAGATGTCTTATCTTGCCGACGTCCATATCGCATAACCATCAGCTGATAATTATGCATAACTGGTCTCCAAGCTTTGAAAACCTGATTCGTCTCATGCTGGGCCTTGGCTGTAGAATGTTCTACTATGTGTTCTTGATTTTGATTGGCTAGTGGGCTTTTACATAGACCCTAGTTAAGACTTACTACCTACTTAAGCTTAGAAACGGCTTTTGTATTTGCCAATCAGTGAAGCTCATAGTACTCTGTGTTTCATTATGAACCTGTGACTAGAAGCTCTCACGTGTCAAAAACGGACCACATTAGCTTTAACGATTCCATATGCAATATCAGTATCGYGGCCAGACCAATTAAATTTGCCCTGAGGCATTTGAAATGTAAAGTATATAATGTGATATAGCAAATAGTGTATCAATCCACTTGGCTAGCATGCGTTATAAATAAATGTTCATCAATAAAGCGTGCGTCAGTAAAAAAAAAGTCTGAGTTCCCTTGGGCTCCCTGTGGAAACGCACGAACGCAATGGCCTACTGGGAAAAAAATATCGTTTTCAAAACGACATCTTTGTTCCTACTGGAACTTTGTGGGCTTGGGTTTGCCTGGGGGCCACTACTAGTAATATYAATATTTACTTTCTATAAGGAACTATGTCATGCTGTTGCTTTGACTGGAGACCKGTGGTTGGAGGAAGTGATTAATGGATTGTTATGAAAAACCTGATGAGATTATCACTATTGTTGATCTAGTTACTTTTCACATATTATTAAATGTAGTCCTGGTATATTTGTGTGGTTGTATGCAAGTTCAGCAGTCAATACGATAATCTGGAAAAAATTGCGCACCTTAAAGGTTGTAAATTTGATGTAAATATGATGTAAGTGTCCAAAATGATGTAAATTTCATGGAAATTATTTACATCATATTTACATCAAGTTCACGACCTTTAAAGTGCGCGTTTTTTTTTCAGTGTTATATCATCCCTTTTTGTCCCGTTTATAAACTCATTAAGGTTCCCAGTTCAAAATGAACACACGTGTTGCCCTGCCCATTCAAAACGAATTCCTCATTGGGGGTCTATTCTAATCCATTTTGAAGTTTAGGATTGACAGCTCAATCCCAGTCTTCTAACGGTCAGGATAAACACGTGTTGCCCTGCTCACACAAAGCAAGTCCCTCATTTGTCTATAGATTCTATTCATATTAAAGTTGGCTCCGGACTGTTCATGCCCAATCCTCTAAAGGCCAGGATGAACACGTGCAGTTGCTCTGCCCAAGCAAAACAATTTCATTAATTCTCTCCTATAATCCGGCATCCTTAAAAAATATACCACGATATTCCACAATGAATTGCTTAAGCTTAGTGAATAGAAAACCAAAGTCACGTGGAATGAGAAGGTTGGCCGGTAACTAGTAGAAATGGTGTTGACAATAGCCCTTGGTAACCATGTCCCGAAAGACACTGCGGTCACAATGAACAGAGTTTTAGCCAAGTTTCTATTTTCTTGAACATTTCTGGTACGTTGAATCCTTGAGGAAAACGTTGTTTTTAGCCATATCGATAAGTAAGAAATAAATATAGTAATCAGGATTAAAATGATTATCATCGACACGAGGATAGTCGAGATTGTTTGATGAATCGAGTCAGTGTATACAAGTGTAAACAGCAGAAAATTAAAAGCACTAAGAGTCCAAACTACACCAATAATGATCGCATAGTACCAAATACCAACAGTTCGATGGCGAAATGGGTTGAAAATTGCAAATACTCTCTCTATAGCAATAGCGGTGAGTGAGCAAAGAGAGGCAGAAATACTGCTTTGTAGGAATACAATTTGAAAAAGAAGAAATTGATAAACGCTTTCTTCTTTGATGGCATGAATCTGAGATCGACTTACAGAAATCATAATCCCAGCCAAACCAACCAGCAAATCAGCCACTGTGAGACTGACCAATAGATAACTCGACTTTTTGACTCTGAAAGTCTTTCGTAGAAACACAACAAGAGATAACATGTTTCCAACCGCGATCAAAAAACCCAAAGTTAAAAGAGTTTGAGTCCAAATCTCGTCCCATCCAAATGTGTTTNAAGACACTGCGGTCACAATGAACAGAGTTTTAGCCAAGTTTCTATTTTCTTGAACATTTCTGGTACGTTGAATCCTTGAGGAAAACGTTGTTTTTAGCCATATCGATAAGTAAGAAATAAATATAGTAATCAGGATTAAAATGATTATCATCGACACGAGGATAGTCGAGATTGTTTGATGAATCGAGTCAGTGTATACAAGTGTAAACAGCAGAAAATTAAAAGCACTAAGAGTCCAAACTACACCAATAATGATCGCATAGTACCAAATACCAACAGTTCGATGGCGAAATGGGTTGAAAATTGCAAATACTCTCTCTATAGCAATAGCGGTGAGTGAGCAAAGAGAGGCAGAAATACTGCTTTGTAGGAATACAATTTGAAAAAGAAGAAATTGATAAACGCTTTCTTCTTTGATGGCATGAATCTGAGATCGACTTACAGAAATCATAATCCCAGCCAAACCAACCAGCAAATCAGCCACTGTGAGACTGACCAATAGATAACTCGACTTTTTGACTCTGAAAGTCTTTCGTAGAAACACAACAAGAGATAACATGTTTCCAACCGCGATCAAAAAACCCAAAGTTAAAAGAGTTTGAGTCCAAATCTCGTCCCATCCAAATGTGTTTTTGGAATAAAGTGCCTTCCAGGTTAGTGGTAAAGATGTATTTAAATTAGTGATGTTAAAATCCATCGTAAAGCAAGCTAGTTTTTCAAAAGAACCGAATTAGTAAATCTCCTCTCGTCTTTTCTATTCAGCACTTTTCCTGTCTTTCTGTTTTCCAGTCTTAAAGTGTGTCGCCCTTGACTACTTCACGACAGATGCTTCCTCTTAACTTTCAAGGAGTCTTGGTTTTTTGGTCACAATGGTTAATATACATCCATTGAATTAACTACTGCAATAATGTGATAGAATGACTTTTTTATGACAGATGTAATTATATTAGAGAGTTCCTCCTCTTTATTATATTAGATATTGATGTTGTTTTCATTAAGTTTGCCAGTTGAACGGGCTTCAAACATTAATCAAACGATGACCGGGTTGGMCGCAGCTGGACTCAGACTGAAATTGCCGGTTGGAAAGGAACCTAAAAGTGCTGTTTTCCTTCATTTATTAATACACTTTATTCGATTTTTAATTAAGATCATAATAGGCTAATACCTACTGGCATTTTCTACCATGAAGGCGCCTTCACTAAATTGATATTTATTATGTATGGAACCTTATTTACTCTTGAAATAAAAAAACAACTCACTCAAACCGACAAACTAGATTCGTGGTTTGAGCCGCTTCCCGTTCATCACTTTTCTAACGTTGAAAATTGCATTAAAACCCTCTTCAATGTAGTGCCGGTGTATGCGCCTGGTTTTCTGCAACTGAGCGAATATTAGTGCAATCATCCTCTTAGGCACTTTTATAAGCCATAAGATTCCCAGTCCTCTGACGTTCAGAATGAACACGTGTTGCCCTACCCTCCTCAATAGTCTATTCTGTTCCTTTTTAGATTGAGAGCTCATTTCCAGTCCCCTTACGGTCGGGATGAACGCACGTGTTGCTCTGCCCATGCAAAACAATTTCCTCATTTGTCTATTCCATTTTTTGTCAAAGCTTAAGATTGGCAGCTCATTTCCAGGCTCTAACGGTCAGGATGAACACGTGCAGTTGCTCTACCCAAACTAAACAATTTCCTTAATTCTCTTCTATACTCCGACATCCTTAACAAATATACCACAATATTCCACAATGAATTGCTTAAACTTAGCGAATACAATACCAAAGTCACGTGGAACGAGAATGTTGCCCGGTAACTAGTAGAAAAGATGGTGTTTACAATAGCCCTTGGTAACCACGTCCCGAAAGACACTGCGGTCACAATGAACAGAGTTTTAGCCAAGTTTCTATTTTCTTGAACATTTCTGGTACGTTG